AATAATGAACAACCATATACCAGAGACATTTTGTGGGGGCGGAGTGGGGAATGGGATCAAAAACAGGGGGAGGGGGAGGAAGGGAGAGAAATGCACGGGACTATGGTGGTGGCACAGGGGTGATTTGGTGATGGGAAACCAGCGGGGATTACAATCGAGATGGAAAAAAAAATGTGCAAAATGATGTAAAAATAAACTTTGTAATAAAAAAAAATATTATCACTTCACTTATATTATCTAGGAGAGGTTGAATGTTACCTGATAAAAATGGTTCTAGGTTTGAAAAATAAAACCTCTCCACGTTTTTAGATATAACTTATGGTGACCACTTGATTGCCTCTTAAAATTATCTTAAGTATCATGAAGTGGCATTAAATATCTCTATAGAAGCAAGTAAAATAAAGATGTGTCTTGTCCTTTCAGTTATTGCTTGAACTATGTGGACAAAATAAAACTTTAACCCCTGTAAAACTCTTTCAGATATCAACTCAAAAGCAATTATGCTATGTTCATCTTTGTCTGCTGCAGAGTGTGTATCTACTGCCTACATTCCTCAAGTAATTATTTCACGAAAGTCTTTTTCCAACCACAATGGAAGCATTCTAACTTTTTAATTTTCAGGAAATCAATCTAAAAGGTATTCTGGTGAGTAAGGATGATGGCTTGTCTAATTTATGCAGTAAATATTTTTATGTATGTACTAAAATTTTTGACTGCAAAATTGAGCTCTAGAAATACAAAGGCACAAGTAGCTCTAGCATGAATCCCAAAATGAAGAAGCTAAAGAGAACATTCCCTCTTCGAGTTTACTTTGACCTAGAATATTGGAAAGTTGAAAGTAGAGATGTATTTTGACTCAACAAGTACTTACCCTCAATCTCCAAAGTTCTTCCCAGCAAGATTACAGCATTGCCCAGGGTGCCCTCTAAAAGGGACAGTGAAGTAGGGCAGCTCTGGGGCAGGTGCCCAGGCCTACTTTGCATCGGCTCCATTGACAGCATAAGGGCAGCACATGCCAGCTACAAGCATTGTTCTCCTTAGAGTGTGCCCTTTCTCTGTCCTGCAATTTGCCAATATACACATGCACATGCAATCATTCTACCTTGTTACCGAAGGCCCTCCCCATGCTCACACCCTGGGATGGCTCCAGGTATGTCAGGAGCCATACCAGCCCAAAACAAGCATTCTCTGTACCCCTCCAGCAAATTTGCTACTCAGTATCCCCCTAACACCCAGGCATTTGGGTACCCCATGACATCTTGCACTTACTGAAATAATGCTTGTTACCGTTCTTACGCCGCTTCATTTGAGTGGGTTTCAACTCCCAAATTAAGTTAATTGAGGGGAAGGACTGTGCCTTTTATCTCTTTTGAATCCCCCCTCAATGTCCAGAAAGTGCCCAGCACAGAGCAGATGCTCAAGAAGTGGCGGTTAGTGGTCATAGTCATAGCTGAAAGCCAGACGGTGTCTCATTCTCCACATGGGTCCATCTTCTGTCACTACTGAGAGAGTCCCAAAGAGCACATAATGTCACTCCCCACCCATACCATCTGCAATCCCTGAGCCCATATCCTTTCTCAGTTTCCAGGCACCAATTGTATTACCATGTTCTGTCCCTCACTACACTCTCCCTTTTAGTAGAGATCCTTCTCCTTCACGATCTTGTGGGGAATGCCCCTCCTCATAGGTACCACTCTTAGATGTTTCTGGTGTAACGGACTCCCAGTTATCTTACAGACTCCCAGTTATCTTATTTGTTTTAGCAGTGGGAATGACAGAATTGCCACCAAACATACATGAAGGCCAGATAAAAGGAGAGGAAACGTTTTTTGGAACGGTAGGCACCAGGAGGATGTCTATCTTAACAGCGCTCATGGTCAGGTGAGGAATTCTTACTAGGACACCCTCAAGGCCACCAGAGCGGTAGCTCTGAAGCCCCAAAATATGATCTAAATATACTTTTCCTTGGGCTTAACAAGATTCCGATCCAAGTATAACATTCCTTTTTCCTTTTTCTCATGCAACATATCAAACCCGTGGAGCCTTAGCGCCATTCCATTCCCTTTCTGAAGTGGTTTCTTCCATCTATAGAAGCAAAAGTTTCGGCTGGGAGATCCCAAAACCCTCTCCAGTTAGAAAACCGACGCAAAAGTGTCCAGAAGACATCTGCTCTTCTAGCACCCCTAGACCCCTCACTCCCTCTGAAACTCAGGTGCAACAAAGGAGATTGGTGGGACCCTGAGGACACATTAGATCCGAAGACACTAAGCCACAGACTAGCTAAAAGGACTACGATGCTGCGTCCGCCTTCTGGGTTGCATAGACCAGGGAACCAAGCAGGGGGACTCCAGAATGAACTAGTGTTGGGATCCAAGCTGCCACCAGCCACCCGGGTGTACATCCCATCTCCGGCCTCCCTACCCCTCTTTTCCGGCCCTGCTCACCGCTCGCGAGGCGGCAGCCCTCCCGGAGCGCCGCTGCTGCAACAGCATCCGGCACGCTAAGGTGAAGGGATGTGTATACAGTCGCCATGACAACGGCCGTTTCCAGCGTTCCCGGAAGTATCGAGGTGGTGGCGGAAATGAAGTCCACGGTCCTCTGTTGAACACGAATAAGATAAGGGTAGAATCGAAAAACCTGAAAAAGAGACCGATTAATCCAGAAAGATTGCGGCAGCCGCAGTCGCGAGGCCAGAATTGGGTACGAAAGTTGCTCAAGAACCAGGAAGCGGGGCAGCAAAGCTTCCGGCGTAGAGGAATGTGCGACTACGGCGGCCGCGCAGGCCAGTCCAATTCCAGCCCTGCCCTTGGAGCTGCTATCCGCGCATGCCCTCGCCCCGCCCTTTTTAGTAACGAGCCGGCCGGCAAGGCCTGCGCAGTCGCGGCGGCCGGGGAAGATGGTGGAGGACGGCGCGGAGGAGCTGGAGGACCTGGTGCACTTCTCCGTGTCCGAGTTGCCTAGTCGCGGCTACGGCGTCATGGAGGAGATCCGGCGGCAGGGCAAGCTGTGCGACGTAACCCTCAAGGTACCGCGTGCAGGGCTGCGCGGGACTTGGGGGGAAAGCGGCCGGGTGGGAAGGAATGAGGGGCGGGGGAGCGGGGCAGAGAGGTCTGCGGGGCGGAGAGGTGGAGAAAGGAGGTTGGAGGGAGAGACCGAGTAAGGGAGGCCGAGGTGCCGAATAGGAGTGGCCGGTTGGGGCTGAGTGGAGAGACGGGGAAGGATAGCCTTTTGTCCCTCAGAAGGAACGGCTGGGAGATGCGCCGCTGAGGTCCTCAGTGGGAGACACTGAGGTTCCCGCCTCCGTTTTCTGTCACACACAACACACACACGGAAATGGACGTGCAGCCCGTCTGTAAGGTGGGCAAGCTGGCGACGGTACATTCTGAGAGGCGCTACTGAGGCATCTTCTCTTGTCACCATAGGCGTTTCTTTGGGTCCTGAAGTGAGCTGTGCTGTTGTAGAGGTTTCTCCCTAGGAGTCATTGTTTGTCCTTAATTGCTAGATCGCTACCTTGTTCTTTAAGAGCTTTCAAAATCGAATCTGGAAATTTTGAGGGGGGCAGCTCCTGTATCCCGCCATGCATACCGCCACAGTGGTTCCGGAGGCTGGGCCGGTGGGCTCCGCGGGGAGAGGGATCTCTGAACCACCTGTTCCCTACTGACATTCTGGTCAACAAAGCCAGCCTCCCTCCCGTGCTCTGCATTCACTCCTGCTGGGGATGCATGCTGTGTTGCTCCGTGGCCAAACGAGCCCTTCGGTGAGGAGATGCTCCGCAAGCCGTGTCCCCTCTTGGGCTTCGGCGGTAAGGTTCTCAGCATCTGTGGAGGACCCTGTTTGAAAACAAAACTATGCAGAATCTTTTTGCTCTTATTTTCTGCAGTTATGGAAACTTTTCTTATTCCACATATTTGAGTCAGACCTCTGGAGACAGTGGTGTAAGAATGTGGCTTTAAGGATAGAAAAGCACTTGGATTATAATCTTAGTTGTAACCTTGGACAAATTACTTAGTCTGTTTAAGCATCAATTTTCCAAATATAAATTCTCCCTAGTGTGAGGATTAAATGAGAACATTTGCGGTGTTCTTTACATAATGCCTGGCATAAATTTTGCATCACTCTGAACTCTTCCTGAAGCAGGTTAGTTTTCCAGAAGAGGAATGAAGTGGTCTGAGAGGGGAAAAAAATCTTTAATAGGGAACCAAGAATTTTGAGAAATGAGCTGGACTAAAAGAGGCAGAGGATGTAAATAAGTGAGAGGTGTTTGTTCATGGTGACTCTGTGGTAGAAGATATCAAGGCTACTAGAGATTTGTAAGCAGAGAAATGATAGGATTGTGACACAGACACTTGAAGTAGAGACGGTGAAAAGGAGTAATTGGGGAGAATTTTTGGTTTAAGATTTAGGCTGTGAGCGTGAGCATGGAAAGCTTGTAAGACTCAAAAGAGCAAAAAGGGTGTGATAGTGCGATGGTCCTAAGTACTTTACACTGAGAATGTCAATGAAAATTACTGTATTGCTGTCAAAGAGTTGGGAAATAAGGACCAGTACAAAGACAGGCTAGAGCTGGATTGGACCATAGAGCATCTGCTTCATTGCTTTTCAAAATATTCTGCAGAAGGTGAGGAGTAGTTCAGTTGCAGTGTTACAGTGGGAGCCTGAAGGAAGCCAGGCTTACCCAGTTCTCTTGGTTTTACTCACCTTCACCAGAGCAGCTCTATGAAATCTGTTTTGGGCTCTCTCTTTTAGGAAGAGAGTCTTCCCTCAAATTTCTGGCAATTCTAGCCTGCTTTTCAGATACATAGACTAGACACTGAAAAGCTGGTTGGAAGCTTTTTGATGTGGGATGGGTCTGTTGACTAGTGATGCTACTTGTAGGGTAGTGGTTCACAAACACTTTAGCTGAGATTAAAATCAGCTGGCTTCCTTGTTCACCACTGGTTGTTGGGCCTCACAGAAGACTTTCTTAATCAGTAGATCTGACATGGGCCCGAGAATTAACATGTTGTATAAGTTTCTGGTATTACTACTTCTGGTCTGGGACCACATTTTAAAAGCAATAGTTGTGTGAGGATAGAGCTGTCCTTTTCAGTGAGATATGTCAGAGTACATGGCCTTGTCCAAACTGATCCTTATTCTAGGAGCCTTACGGTGAGAGAAAACTAGGGGCTCTTGCTTCTGTGTACAGACTTTCACTGAACTCCCACCAAATGGTGCTACTTCCTTGTCTTCTAAATCTGGATTCTCTAGTTCATTCTATCCAGATAATAAACCTCCAGCCTTTTCCTGGGGCATTGACAGTATTTGCCCATGGATGGGGACCAATTTAATTACACGTTTTCAGCCTTGTGCTAACACCTTCATGGAAAGCCTGTATTTCTAAAAGTTGAGTTCTGGAGGAAGTTCCGTAGTGGTTTTCCATCTCAGTACTCGGTATTCTCCATCTAAGTCAATTCATGCTCATTTGTCTGATTTTTCACCTTCCAAAATCTCATAACATTATCTAAACTGCTCTCTCAACTTTTTCCTGGGAGCATTGTTCATCTGAGAGTTAATATAGCTGACATGAGCCAGACTGCCTAGGTTTGAATCTTAGCTCTGCCACTTACTAGCTGTGATGATTTGGGCAAGTTTCTCAAATGCTGGTTCCTCCATCTATAAAATGGGGATCATCACCTACCTAATAAGAGTGTTGACGATTCCATTAGTTAATCACTTAAAACAGTCATGTAGTAAATGCTCAGCAAGTATTAGATATTAATTAACTGCGTGAGATTTCCGGAGGGAGTAGAGATAAATGTGTATGTTTGACCTATCATTTTGAATATGTTTTAGTTTCTGATGAATTCTGAATGATTTTATCAAAATATAATTTCATTGTCTTAAAAGAATTTGCAAACCTCTTCTACTTAAGTAGTCTGAATTATACAGATGAGGATCCAATCACAGAAGGCGGAAGGACTTGTCCAAGATCACAGATTGAATTAGAACTAGGAATAGACTGGAGTCCTGGTCTCTGTACTCTGGGTCAGGTGTTCTTTCATGCTCACCTACTGCCTCATCCATCACTGATTTGAAGTAATTTCAGCTGCTTCTATGTGAATTAATCTACCTTCAATCAGTTATTCACATCTTTAATCTGTCGTCTTTTCTATCTGAATTTTATCTGAATTCTTTTCTATCTGAATACCATGAAAGCAGCCATGCCACATTCTCAAAATTCACTGCCAACTCTGACACCTTGCTAATTTTTCTTTTGGAAAAATTTGAAATTTAAATTTCTTGGGATAGCTAATGTATTGTAATTTCTTTTTTTGTAAATTACCTTCTGTATTTCTGGTGACCTGAATCTCTTTGGACTATCTAAGCAAAGATCCCTCTCCCCAGAAAGATGCACATGCTCTGGTGCATATAAAATTCAGTCTTGAGAGCAATTCCCCTGAAGTTCATCTTTAAGTCTTGGGTTATGAATTCAACTGAGTATTCTTCAAGCATATGATCCTTCTCCTGGCAAATTATTTCATTTTTAATGTTAGGTATTCAGATAATAGTGCAAGAGTTTTTGGCAATTTATAACATAAAATCTGGTTTGAATAGAGAAGTCTGCATCCCCTCTCCCCAACATCTGGTCTCATCTCCTCTCCTTTGGGCTATCAGGAACCCACTGCTCAGGCCGCATCTGTCAGATTCATCTGGGACAGCGATTTGGGCAAACTCAACAGATTTCAATGAGTGTTCTCCACAACATTTTATTCATGAGGTTTAGACCCACGAGATTAATATATTTTTAGTTTTCCTCATTCACATATTTTTAAATTTTCCTTTGTGTGTGAAAAGAGAACGGGGTCACCAAACCTGCATACTGTTTGCTAATCCATAAGCTTAGAAGAGAGGAGCCTCCTACACACCCACATACCTTGTTTTGCAACCACTAATAAGTGTTTTCTCAAAGATCTGTGGGCATGGGTCTTATCAACATTTTTTTAAGGTCTCTGCTGAGGTTTTTAACCCAGATCTGAGACTAGTCCCCAGAAGGAGATGGCTTTTCCATTGGTGAAAGGCACAGTTTTGGAATATTTTCTTTTGATCCACTAAATTCAGGTTATATAATTCTCAGTGATACTTCAGGAGTCACAGATTTGAATCCGGAATCTTGCCTAATTAGTTGTCACACTGAAGTTGTGATGAAAGAATAGGTGGAGAAGACTATCAGGAAATGAAGTAGAGGCTTGTTGCTGCATGCCATTTTTTTGTTATGTGTAGTGAATTACACAGCTGTAATTATAGAGTTAGAATAATCATATTAAAAGGAGCCATCGAGGTCATCTATCAAAACCATTCATTTTACAGATGAGCAAAAAACTGAGACTTAGAGCTGTTAAGGGATTTGCCCAAGGCACAAAGCTACATTATCTGAGATAAAACACAGCTGTTCATTGGTAGAAGCAATACGTTTATATCCTTTGTCAGATTACTGGCCTCTTGCTAAATGGTAGGAAGCAGAGGGGGTAATAAACACATTTCCAGTGTCATCTCTGAGTACGGAGGACAGTGATGTGTGTGTCTAAGTGCAACATCACTGTTTGATTTCAGGAGAAAAGAAAGTTGCAAGATTTTTCTACTAGACTTTTACTATGAATTCTTGACTTTTAAATAATACAGTTTTGGGAAATTTGTGATCTTGAGTATTGTTCTGCAGACAGTTTTCAGGTAATTGTGTTGATTTTCAGGCTTTTTTCCGTTCAATGAACAATTCGAACCAAAAGGAAGAATGTATTTCTTGAGAGCATATGTACTCTCACATATCACAGAGTATACTTGTGATATGAATTAATTCATCAGAAAGTATTATTTCCAAAAGGCAGATTTGCTCTCTCCTTCAAGTCATGTTACAGATACTGCTGTTACATTCTGACAGCAGGAAGATGAATATGAGAGCTTGATGCTGCCTGACTTGTGGGTGAGGAGAGCTAGTGGAAAGTCAATTACCAGCCAAACCACATTCATGGGGTTCACCTTGAGGCATCC